AAACTCCGAGACCCCCAAACCCCGAAACGCCTAAACCCCTAAACCGCTAGACCCCTAAACCCCTAAACCCCTGCCCAACAAGGAGGCCCAACAAAAAAGGAACACATCCCACCAAGCTAAAAACCCCCCCCCTGCCCCCCCCCCCCCCCCACCCCCCTCCCCCCACCCCTCCCCCACCCCCTTCCCCCCCCCCCCAAAAAAGGACCCTAAACCCTAAACACCCTAAACCCTACGCCCTACGCCCTAAACCCCAAAAACCCTAAACCCTAAACCCCAAAAACCCTGAGCTCTCCTGCCACCTCGCTGCAACGGCATCGACGTAAGAGGTACCCAGCCGGCCATCTCTTGGGCAGACCACGTCCTTCCCCTTCTCGCGGATGACGCCTTCCTTGTCGGGTTTTGGGGTTTAGGGCTTAGGGTTGAGGGTTTAGGGGGTTTAGGGTTGAGGGTTTAGGGTTTAGGGTTTGGGTTTTGGGGTTTGGGGTTTAGGGTTTAGGGTTTAGGGTTTAGGGTTTAGGCTTTAGGGTTTAGGGTTTAGGGTTTAGGGTTTAGGGATTAGGGATTAGGATTTAGGGTGATTCCTCTGGTTAATAAACTTCAAAGTAAGTTGCCATAACGAGGATACTATCTTGCTTTCTTGACCCTAAGGTAGCTTCATGAGCAAGAAACCTCAAACCCTAAACCCTGAACCCCTTACCCGCAAAGAGGAGAAAAAAAAACCAAGGCGACTTCTGAAAAGGAACCCCAAGCCCTAAACCCTAAACCCCAAACGCTAAACCCTAAACCCCAAACCCTGAACCCCAAACCCTGAACCCCCAGTCGAAGGTTCTTCGATGGCATAGACGGGGGATGATCGCGGAAAGCCCTTGGCCTCCATCTCCAGCAGCAGGTCATTGGCCAAATACTTGAAGCTGATGCCTCCAAGGGCTTACATACTGGGTTTAGGGTTTAGGGTTTAGGGTTTAGGGTATAGGGTATAGGGTTTAGGGTTTAGGGTTTAGGGTTTAGGGCTAGGCGGGGCCATAACAGACCCACGCGTTTCCGGCAGTTTAGCACTGTTGCCCTCAGAATCCCCTGTAAATGCCGATGTTTCCTGGGTTTCGCCCATCACCTCATCCCCGCAGTTTTTATCCAAAATCATCCTGCAATTTTTTGGGCATCCGTAGACTGCACTGGTATTTGTGGGGTTTTGTGCACTACTTCGCTCTTTCGACGTGTCCTAAACTAAGCCCTGTCTTGCTTGCATCCGCTTCTGCCCAGCCCTGGATCTAAATAACACGTTTGCTTCACCATAGTTATAGAAGAGAGCATCATGGCCCAACCATGATGACGTCCATAGTCTAATCCGTTCTGGGAAGAGAGTATCCATGGCCCAAGCATGATGACGTCCATGGTCTACTCTGTTCTGATGAGAAGAGAGCATCCATGGCCCAAGCATGATGACGTCCATGATCTACATGTTTTCTGCACTGCCACGGCCCAACCATGATGACGTCCATGGTCTTCTCCGTTCTGGGAAGAGAGCATCCAGGGTCCAAGCATGATGACGTCCATGGTCTATTCTGCTCTGATGAGAAGAGAGCATCCATGGCCCAAGCATGATGACGTCCATGGTTTACATCGTCTAATCTGTTCCGAGAAGGTTAAACCTTCTTCTGGGTAGAAATGGCTGGAAGTCCTTGCTTTTAGGCGCACTGGGGAGCAGAAAGGCGTCATTTCTCAACACTAAAGGCGGTGACCTAAGTCCTGCATCTCAGGTTTGCTGGTGGGGCCACAGTTTTGCGCGGGTCTGTTGTGGACCCGCCAGGGTTTAGGGTTTGGGGCTTAGGGAGAAGATAAATCTTGATGGCTTTGTAAGGATATGCAAGGATTATATAGGGGACTAAACTAAAAGTGGGTGTAGGGGGGGGGGGGTTAGGTTTGGGGGTTTGGGCTTTAAGGTTCAGGGTTTGGGATTCGGGGTTCAGGGTTTAGGGTTCAGGGTTTAGGGTGTGGGGAAGCTGATGCCTCGTAGGAGCCCCCCTGGCTTGCCGGCTTCTGCTGACCTGACAATGGAGGATTTCGGGTTAGGGTTTAGGCTTTAGGCTTCAGGGTTTAGGGTTTCGGGTTTCGGGTTTAGGGTTTAGGGAGGGGTGTAAAACACAAAAACTCCAACCTAGCGGACTCGTGCTTCGGAGCAGCTAGGGTTTTGGGTTTGGGGGTTTGGCTGGCCACCCAGAAGCGCTGCTTAGGGTTACAACACCATGAAAGCCCCAAGACCTTCATCCTGCACCCTAAACCCTAAACCCTAAACCCTAAACCCTAAACCCCGGAGAACCCCCCCGCACAAGAAGTGAGTTGGGATGTTCCCCCCATATACTAGCAGTCCTTAATAGGGATTGTAGCACCCCCCCCCTATTCTAGTACCTGTTAAGGACTGTCAACACAAGAGCAGTGTGAGCCTTCAATCAAAACCCCCGGACCCCAACCAAACCCAAAGCTCTTAAATCCTAAACCCTCAAACCCTTAAACCCTTAAACCCTTAAGCCGTTAACCCGGTAACCCCTAAACCCTTAAGCCGTTAACCCGGTAACCCCTAACCGATTGAAACCTAAAGCCGCCAAAATCCCTCAGCTTTTACGCCCTAAACCTCCTTATACGAACCGCCCTTAAGAGGGGGTTACAGTACCCCCCTACCATAGTCCCTATTAAGGACTGTTTGCATAAGGGGGAAGGGAGAACATCCCAACCCTAAACCCTACACCCTACACCCTAAACCCTAAACCCTAAACCCTAAACCCTGAACCCTGAACCCTAAACCCCAAACCCTAAACCTCACATCCCAACTCCCAGCCTGCTGTGAGCCTCACTTTCGGAGGCGCAGTTGCGAGGATGTACCTGCTTCTTCTGCTTCGCAGAGAAACCTGAAGTTTCGGGTTTAGGGTTTAGGGTTTAGGGCTTAGGATCCTCCCAGATTCTGTGACGAACGCTGAACCCTAAATTTTAAATAGTATAAGAGGCGAATAACGGCCAAGAAATTACATCAACTAAACCCTAAACTCTAACGAGGTTCCGAGTTTAGGGCTTAGGGCTTAGGGCTCAGGGTTTAGGGTTTGGGGTAACCCTTCAAAGCAAAAGATGCAAAAAAAAGACTGTTCAGCGCAGACCTAGAGGCAACCGAAGCAACTTCGCGACATCGGCGGAGTTGGGGGAAGGCCCAGCGCGGCGCGGCTTTGCTGTGCTTAGGGTTTATGGTTTAGGGTTTCGGGCTTAGGGTTTAGGATGTAGGGTTTAGGGTTTAGGCTTAGGGCTCAGGGTTGAGGGATTTGGGGCTTCAGGGTTTACTTTTGGGTTTGGGGTTGGGGCTTCGGGTGGTCTACCCAAACCCCAAACATTTTGACTCCTAACATCGGAGCCAGAGTTAGGTCGCAGAAGGCTGTCTGGACCAGCCATCCCCTAAACCCTAAACCCTAAACCCTAGGGTTTGGGGGCTTGCTGCGGTCCCTATGTGGGGCCCTGTGCAGAACCAAAGCTTTGTGCCCAAAACCTCCGTGCCCCTTAATGAAGAGATATTCCATAAACCGTATAAGGAAGCCTCTTATGCTTCAAGGTATCTTCTTTGTTAAGGGGAACTGGAGTCTTTGGGTGCACAACCCATGGGATCATAGACTAGACCCAAGGAGTCACCTAGGAATGAAAAGGGTGCCCCTTTTTTGGCTTACAGGGGCCTATGAGGGGAACCTACACCCAAAAAGGAGGGAATCAGGGGCCGACTCTGTGTGCTGGCAGAGGGCTGTGTGCCCAACTTTTAAGATGTATTCCAAATCGCCTGAAATTTGTCATTTAGGGTTTAGGGTGTAAGGTTTAGGGTGTTTAGGGTTTCGGGTTTAGGGGTGAGGCTTTAGGCTTTGAGGGTTGTGTAGGCTTTGGGGCTTGGCGTTTAGGGTTCAGGGACGAGCACAGGCATCGTGCGCTAGGCTGCTAGGGTTGAGGGCGTAGCTTAGAGCAGTTACATGGGCCCTTAATATGTTCAGGGGTTCTGATGTGGGTTGTAGAGGGTATACAAGGGGTATTTAAGGGAGGGCCCATACTCAGGGACCATGCAAAGTAACCCTAAACCCTAAACCCTAAACCCCAAACCCTAAACCCTTTATGGGAACGACCCCGAAGCAGAGCACTACTTTTGGGGGGGGGATTGCGGGGCTTCCTGGGTCTCGCAGGGGCATCCAGAGAGAAGCTTCAAGGATAAACCCGAAATCCCGAAAAGAACGCGATTCGGATTTAGGGTTTAGGGTTTAGGGTTTAGGGTTTAGGGTTTAGCGTTTAGGGTTTAGGGTTTAGGGTTTAGGGTTTAGGGTTAGTCTAACCCCCCTAAACCCTAAACCCTAAACCCTCTATGGTCTAGACACCCTAACATTGACCACACCGCAGCTTAAACGAATCGACGCAATGTACTTTGAGTTTCTAAGGAGAGTTATAGGCATCAAAGCCTCGTATTACTCGAGGGTTTCGAATAACACAGTCTGGTGCGAGGCTGGTTATACCGAACCCCCTCGGAGTTTCTGTTCAAATCGGAGCTCAAACTCCTTCAAGCCGTGCATGCTGCTGAACCAAGCTCCCCCCTACATTCAGTAGTCTTTTCAGCCTACAAAGATCGTATCAAAGTTGTGGGACGTAGGCGGGGTATGCAAATCTCTCATTGGATTGAAGTGGTTACCAAAAGACACTTTGCGGATATATGGGACCAAACCGCTTCTAAGAGTATCCTAGGACCACATACCCAATATGCTACGATCGCCCGTAGACTGCGGAATCCCTCTTTTGCGGAGCCGGAGCCAATGCGCGCAGACCAGGGCGCAAGGCCATAGCAAAAAACAACCCAAACCCTAAACCCTAAACCCTAAACCCTACACCCTACACCCTAAACCCTAAACCCTAAACCCTAAACCCTAAACCCTAAACCCTAAACCCTCCCCCCTAAACCCTAAACCCTACCCCCAAACAACTACGAGGCAGGAGTCGACGTGCGCTCGCGCAGCGAGCAGCAGTTGGGCCACCTCCACCAAGCCATCTTTGGCCGCGACCTTGCGGGTTTAGGGTTTAGGGTTTAGGGTTTAGGGTTTAGGGTTTAGGGTTTAGGGTTTAGGGTTTAGGGTTTAGGGTTTAGGGTTATAGGGTTATAGGGTTTAGGGTTTAGGGTTATAGGGTGTAGGGTTATAGGGTTCAGGGTTCAGGGTTTAGGGTTGAGGGTATAGGGTTTAGGGTTCTAGGGTTATAGGGTTTAGGGTTTAGGGTTATAGGGTTTAGGGTTTAGGGTTTAGGGTTGTGGGGTTTAGGGTTTAGGGTTTGGGGTTTGGGGTTTGGGGGTTTGGGGGTTTTGGGGGGGTTGGGGGGTTTGGGTTTGGGGGTTGGGGGTTTGGGGGTTTGGGGGTTTGGGGTTGGGGGTTTGGGGTTTGGGGTTGGGGGTTTGGGGGTTTGGGGGTTTGGGGGTTTGGGGGTTTGGGGGTTTGGGGGTTTGGGGGTTTGGGGGTTTGGGGGTTTGGGGGTTTGGGGCTTTTGGGGTATGGGCTGCCTTAAACCCTAGACTCTGCACCCGGCAAGCGACAAGGAGTTGATAAAATCCCTAAACCCTAAACCCTAAACCCTAAACCCTAAACCCCTAAACCCCTAAACCCCTAAACCCTAAACCCTACAAGAGCCCAAGAGATGAAACATAAACCCTAAGCCCTAACCCTAACAAGAACAGAGAAGACAAAGAGGCGCAGCAACAACCCTTTGGGGGGGGAAGATGACTCGCTGGCCTAAACCCTAAGCGCCAGACCCTAAACCCTAGCCCTAAACCCTAAACCCTAAACACTAAACCCTAAACCCTAAACCCTAAACCCTAAACCCTAAACCCTAAACCCCAGTCCCTAAAATGTCGGGCCACATGCAGCGACGAGGGGGTCCTCCGCGCGCGCTCCGCATCCTTTGGCTTTGGGGTCGTTAAGGGGGTCTCAGGGTTTAGGGTTTAGGGTTTGGGGTTTAGGGTTTGGGGTTTAGGGTTTAGGGTTTAGGGTTTAGGGTTTAGGGTTTAGGGTTTGGGGTTTAGGGTTTTAGGGACCCTAAACCCGGAACCCGAAACCCTAAGGGTTTTGGGGGGTTTAGGGTTGAGTGTTTAGGGTTTCAGGGGTTTGGGGATTTAGGGGTTTGGGGGTTGGGGGCTTAGAGCTCAGGGTTTAAGGCGGTAAGGAGCCGCACCCCTAAGGCAGGTTTCGGGTTTATACGGCTTCTCGTTTCTGGTTTAAGGTTGGGGTTTGGGGTTTGGGGTTTGGGGTTTGGGGTTTGGGGTTTAGGGTTCAGGGTTTGGGGCCTAGATAGCCTTCATTTTGGAGCGCTCTAGGCCGTCGGTACGGTACTTTGGCCAGAAAGTCCTCCTAAACCCCAAACCCCAAACCCTAAACTTGAAACCCTTAAATCCTTGCGGTTGAGGGTTCAGGGTTTAGGGTGTAGCTTGGAGAGTTTAGGGCTTAGGATTTAGGGTCTAAGGCTCATGGCAGGCATATGGCCTTCAACCCGAAACCCAAAACCCTAAACCCTAAACCCTAAATCCAGGTCAGGCCCGAAAGCCCCCGCCCCCGTCCAGGTCGGCGCGTGCGTCCAGAAGCAATCGCACCACAGCCACCTGCCCTGACCTGAGGTTGAGGGTTTGGAGTTTAGGTTTTTCGGGGTTTTTGGGGTTGTTGGGGCTGTTGGGGCTGTTGGGGTTGTTGGGGTTGTTGGGGTTGTTGGGGTTGTTGGGGTTGTTGGGGTTGTTGAGGTTGTCGGGGTTGTTGGGGTTGTTGGGGTTGTTGGGGTTGTTGGGGTTGTTGGGGTTGTTGGGTTTTTTGGGATTTTGGGGGTTGTTGGGGTTGTTGAGGTTGTTGGGGTTGTGGGAGTTGTTGGGGTTGTTGGGCTTGTTGGGGTTGTTGGGGTTGTTGGGGTTGTTGAGGTTGTTGGGGTTGTTAGGGTTTAGGTTTAGGGTTAGGGTTTAAGGTTTAGAGTTTAGAGCCTAGAGGTTTCACAGCCACTAGTCAGAAGCATTTGGCGTTTAACTACAGTTTAGGTCTTGGGCTGTCGGTTGAGGACATCAAGGCCCTAAATCCCTGAACCCAAAAACCCTATTCCTGACCCCCCTTCACCCCCTCTCCAACCCCCCAATTCCTAAACCCTAAACCCTGGACCCTAAACCCTATAACCCTAAACCCTAAACCCTAAACCCTAAACCCTAAACCCTAAACCTCACCCCCTAAAGGCCACCACGCCACATCACGGCCCGGTTGAGCGGGGTGAGTTCATGCCTGCCGCCAACTAAGTCCACTTTGGCCTGCCGGGGCTAGGGTTTAGGGTTTAGGGCTTAGGGTTTAGGGCTTAGGGTTTAGGGTTTAGGGTTTAGGGTTTAGGGTTATAGGGTTTAGGGTTTAGGGTTTAGGGTCTAGGCTTTAGGGTTTAGGGTCTAGGGCAGAGGCTATCCTGTGAGGTGCTGAAGGAAGAATCTCCGAGTGCCGAAGTACTGCGGTGAGAGTTGATACACGTAGATTCTGCAGAAGCTAAACCCTAAACCCTGCACCCTGCACCCTAAACCCTAACCCCTAAACCCTAAACCCTAAACCCTAAACCCTAAACCCTAAACCCTGCCCCCGAAGCCTAAGCAGGCGGACCTTGCAGGGGTTCAGACATCACCATGTGGGATACCAAGGCTCTACGTTTCGGGCCCAGCGCCTTTTGGAATTGCTTTGGCTATTTTGGCTAAGGGAACTTAAACCTAAACACCGAAAAATACAAAATCCCTAAAAGCCCAGACCCCAAAACGCCTGACAAAAAGTCTCTACACACCCTAAACCCCATAAACACCCCAACAATCCAAAAGCCCTAACAACCCTCAACAGACACAAGCTTCGGGTTTAGGGTTTAAGGTGGTTCGGCGTCCAAGGGTTGATAGGCTTTGGGGATTGTGCAGGCCTAATACCTAAACCCTATTTATTACGGATGAAAAAACGTGTTTAGGGGCCGGGGCGCGCTCCCGGTTCATTGACTCGGAAAAAAAACAGCTTCGCCTAAACTCAAACTCTTGGAGGATCAAGCCTTGGGCAACGAGCCCCACACCCTCCACAAATCCCCCGACGGCTTCACTTTTCGGCCGGGGGAGTGGGTTTACATCGCAACTTACACGGCTTCGTGCTTCTGATGTTGGAGAAAGATGATCGCTGATGTGAGGGTTCAAGGTTTGGGGTGTAGAGGCATAAAGGGTTTTTTCAAACCTTAAACCCTAAACCCTACAAACCATAAACCCTAAACCCAACAAACCGTAAACCCTAAACCCAATCCCCACTTATAAAGCCCATGAGTCAACAGGCCACACCTTCGCCTCAAGAAGCAGGGCGACCGCGGCTTCTCTGCCAGACTCCGCGGCCACGTGCCTTCGAGGGGCTTTTGGGGTTTAAGGGTTTAGGGTTTGGGGTTTAGGGTTTAGGGTTTAGGGGTTCGGGGTTTAGGGTTCGGGGTTTAGGGTTTAGGGTTCGGGGTTTAGGGTTTAGGGTTTAGGGTTCAGGGTTAAGGGTTTAAGGTTTTGATATTAGAGGGTTGGACGGCATTTGGGGCTTGAACACCGGAAATCTTATGGGTGCTTAGGTTTAGGGTTTAGGGGGTCTAGGTTGTTTAGTCACAGCCCTAAACCCAACCTGAACTCTACGCCTTATAAAGCCCTAGACCTGAAACTGCTTTGAGGGCTGAAAGGAGTTCAGTTTAAGGCCAAGGTCTGGGCGCCTATGGAGTTGCAGCTATTGGGGGTTTAGGGTTTAGGGTTAGGGTTTAGGGTTTAGGGTTTAGGGTTTAGGGTTTAGGGTTTAGGGCTTAGGGCTTAGGGCTTAGGGTTTAGGGTTTAGGGTTCAGGGTTTAGGGTTAGGGTTTAGGGTTTAGGGCACATGAGGCGCCGCCACCCACCCCACCCCAAAAAAAAATGAAAAACCCACAAATGGAAATAACAAGAAGAATGAAGCAATGATATTGCATGAAAAATGCAGCAGCAAAGTACAAATTTCCAAGTTACAAAAAGACAAGTAAATCAGAACATCATAAAAAAAAAGCAATGAGAAGAATATCGTGGTAACAAGAAGAAATCGCCCCCAAACCCTAAACCCTAAACGCTAAACCCTAAACCCTAAACCCTAAACCCTAAACCCTAAACCCTAAGCCCAAGGCGCAGGGCCGAGAGGTTCCTTTGGTCCACTTGGTCGGGGTCTTGGGGCCGCTGGAGGCACTCCTGGAGAAGGGTTTGGGGGGGTTTAGGGTTTAGGGTTTAGGGTTTAGGGTTTAGGGTTTAGGGTTTAGGGTTTAGGGTTTAGGGTTTAGGGTTTAGGGGTTTAGGGGTTTTAGGTTTAGGCTTAGGGGTTTAGGGGTTTAGGGGCTTAGGGGTTTAGGGGTTTAGGGTTTAGGGGTTGAGGGGCTTAGGGTTTAGGGTTTAGGGTTTAGGGTTTAGGGGTTTAGGGGTTTAGGGGTTTAGGGGTTTAGGGGCTTAGGGGCTTAGGGGATTAGGGGCTTAGGGGTTTAGGGGTTTAGGGTTTAGGGGTTTAGGGTTGGCTTTAGGGGTTTAGGGTTTAGGGGTTTAGGGTTTGGGTTTAGGGGTTTTAGGGTTTAGGGGTTTATGGGGTTTAGGGGGTTTAGGGGGTTTCGGGGTTTAGGGGTTTAGGGGTCCAGGGGTCTCGGGGTTTCAGGGGTTGAGTGTCCAGCTGTACTCAGAAGCCTGGAGCCTTTTCGAAACCCTAAGCCCCGTCAGCACAAAATCCTGAACTCCACACCCCTAAGCCCCTAAACCCCTGAACCCTTAAACCCTTAAACCCTGAAACACTTAACCCCTACCTAAACCTAAACCCTAACCTTTAAACCCCCAAATCCTAAACCGCTACATCTTCCAAACCCCTTACGCGAAGCCCTTATTCCTCAAGGGATAGTCGGAGCATCCAAGCTGCGGGATGTCCCCCCTGGGCCCTCAACCCTGAACTCTACAGCTAGTTGGCAACATTTCTGCGCCCTGAACCCTAAACCCCAAAGCCTAAACCCTCAACCCCAAACCGAAACCCCAAACCCAATAAACCCCAAACCCTAAAAACCCCTAAACCCCAAACCCCAAACCCTAAACCGCAAGCCCCAAACCCCGAACCCCGAACCCCAAACCCTAAACCTTACCCCTAAACCCCAAACCCGAAACCCTAAACCCTAAACCCGAAACCCTAAACCCTAAACCGAGTTGACAACATTTCTGTGCAGTCCTCCACCTCCGCCACGGAGCCCACGGATGCCGCTGTCACGAGCCGTTCTGCATCGCCCTCCCCCGGCTTCGTGTTACGGGCTACCCCACGAGGGTTTAGGGTTTAGGGTTTAGGGTTTAGGGTTTAGGGCTTAGGGCTTAGGGTTTAGGGTTTAGGGTTTAGGGTTTAGGGTTTAGGGTTTAGGGCTGAATTAGGGTAGGGTTTAGGGTTTAGGGTTTAGGGTTTAGGGTTTAGGGCTCAAGGCTTCTCCACCCTTATCAGACCGGGGCCCACTTTCTTTCCCTTAGGGAAGCACCGGGAAAGCCCTACACCCTCAACCCCCCCCGAAACCCAAGCCCGAGCCTCGGTGGGCTCACAGAAGGGCAGCAGCACCAGCTGGAGATCCCCAGGGGCTTCCTGAAAGCGCCGAAGGCGTAGGATGTGGAGTAGGGGGTTATAGGGTTTAGGGTTTAGGGTTCAGGGTTAAGGGTTTAGGGTTTAGGGTTTAGGGTTTAGGGTGTAGGGTTTAGGGTTTAGGGTTTGGGGGTTTGGGGGTTCGGGGGCTTGGGGTCAGGTCTTAGGGGTTTTGGTTTTGGGGCGTGCCAGACGGAGGCGCGCTGTGTGAGCGCGCACTACTCTGCTGACCCACCCGCCCCACTGGCAAATCTCATGCAGCTTCTATCCTGTGCAACGAGCACTTGGGGGCATTCATTGGGTCACTTGGGACGCTTGCCCTAAACCCTAAACCCTAAACCCTAAACCCTAAACCCTAAACCCTAAACCCTAACCCTAAATCCTTGGATCACTCCTAGGGCGTGCCACAGGGGCCGTCACTTGGGACGTTGGGGGTAACGTGGGGTGTGTCGCATGGGCCACGAACCCCAGACCCCAAACTCCCGAAGCTCCCCAAACTTCCCAACCATAGACCCTAAACCCTAAACCCTAAACCCTAAACCCAAAACTCTAAACCCCCTAAACCCTGAACTCCCTGAAAAACCATCAACTCCCCAAGCCCTGGGAGACCGATACCCTAAAATTCCCAGCGTCCACGACATCGCTGCTCCCGAGGATGGAACCACACGGTGTCAGGAGCCTGGGGCAGGTCTTTGAGAAGGGTTTGGGGTTTAGGGTTTAGGGTTTAGGGTTTAGGGTTTAGGGTTTAGGGTTTAGGGTTTAGGGTTTAGGGGTGTAGGGGTTCAGGGTTTTAGGGCAGGGTTTTGGGTCTGGGGTTTAAGTTTAGGGTGCAAGTCGGGTAGAATTCAGGCTTTAGGTGCTTGGGACAGGAAACCTGTAGGCTTCAGAGTTTTTGAAGATTCGGGCCACCGCCTGCCTGAAAAAACCCTATGCCGGGGGCTACTTGGGACGCTGCCTCTGCTGGAAGCGCGTCCTGCCGCAGCGCTCCTGCGAACTCACTCGCTTTTCTGGGGCCCCAGGCTGTCTTCCCAAACCCTAAGCCCTAAACCCTAAACCCTAAAGCCTAAACCGCAGACACTTGGAGCTCCCAGCCCCCGGACCTTTCTGATCACAAAGGCTGTGGCTTACGTGGCAACATGCAGTGTTCAGGGTTTAGGTCTTAAGGCGTTAGGTTATTTATTCAATGCGACCCACCCTTTTTGGTCCTTCGAGCCTTCTTTGATTTGGGCCTTCAGTTTGCATAGGAGGTGCGCAGCCGCCAGCATTGGGCCTCCCGGCCTGCACCCGACACCCCTCACTCCCAACACCCTCGCAACCCTCAACCCCTCAACCCTGACCCCTCAACCCTCAACACTAAGCCCTAAGCCCTAAGCCCTAAGCCCTAAACCCTAAACCCTAAACCCTAAACCCTAAACCCTAAACCCTAAACCCTCCCTTGGCTTTAGCAGGAGGTTGTTTGGGGTTTCGGGTTTCCAGGCCCCATTCGTTTCGGGGTTCGGGTGTGGGGGGGCTGTAGGTTTGCTGTAGGTTTGGAGGCTTCAGAGCTGACAGGGCTTATGGGGGTTTAGGGTTTAGGGTTTAGGGTTTAGAGTTTAAGAGTCATAGGGCTGGAGACTTTGAAGCCCCTAAACCCTAAACCCTAAACCCTAAACCCTAAACCCTAAACCCTAAACCCTAAACCCTAAACCCTAAACCCTTAAACCCTAAACCCTAAACCCCTCAAAACCAGCGCCTCGAGGAGCTGCTTCAGGGCCCTGGCCGTGCAGCCGGCCGATGCGTCGGCCGGCAGCTCCTCCTGCTGATCAGGCTTCTGCCTTAGGGTTCACTACAAGGTCATCCGGGCCTGGTGTTTAGGTCTGAGGCTTCGTTAGGGTTCAGGGAATGGGCTGAGGGTTAAGGCTTAAGTTTCGAGTAGAGCATCTCCGGTAGCCACGAAGGCACAAAAGAAGGGATCCTAAACCCCAAGCCCCAAGCCCCAAGCCCTAAGCTAGAGAACCAAGCATGTAAGGGCTTAGTTGGGGACTAGGCGCCTGCCTCCCTGTAGAGGCTTCAACGGCTTTAGGGTTTAGGGTGTAGGGCTCAGAGTTTCGGATTAAGTTAAGGGTATAGGGTTTAGGATTTAGGTTTAGGGTGTAAAATTTAGTTTTCGGGTTTCGGGGCTTGTCTAAGGCTCCTGTGCATAAGCGCCTCTGTCTGGGATGTGTCCACAATACGCTGCGCAGCAGGTATGCCGGGCAGCAATGGTGAGTATGCGCAGAGGACTGTCTCAGAAAAACGCGTAAAGGATGGCCAACAGAACCCACCGAAGGGCAATGTAGGTGAGTCACCCGATTGGGGGGGGGATAGAAGCGTTGAGAGCTCATTTATGGTTTAGGGCCTGGGGGGGCTGGAGCATTATGGAACCTTACCCGAAACCAAAAACCCCAAACCCTAAACCCTAAACCCTAAGCGCTGGACCATAGACCCTAGACCCTGAACCCTAAACCCTAAACCCTGAACCCTCAACCCTAAACCCTAAACCCTAAACCCTAAACCCAACCAATTCCTAGATCCGTTCCTAGATCCGGGCCTGCGTGAAGCAGGCCACTTCCTCCCCCGAGGCCGCACAGATGCGGAGCATGGGGGCCATGCGCTCCGGCGGGCACGTCCAAACGCTTAGGGTTTAGGGTTTTGGGTTTAGGTTGTAGGCTTTAGGGTTTAGGGTTTAGGGTTTAGGGTTTAGGGTTTAGGGCTTAGGGTTGAGGGTTTAGGGGTAAGGGCTGCAAACATGGACCCTTGGTATGGGCCCCTAAAAGGGGACACCATACATACCCCTTATACCCTGTAGGAACTAGCGGGCCCAGACATCAGAACCCTTTGAAGGAGGTTTGGGGACCGTATCAAGGGCCCGTGAAACTACCTCAGAAGCTGCAAGAAGCTGGGCAACCATAAACCCTAGACCTTGTGGTGTGAGGGACTAGGGTTTAGGTTTAATGTTTCTAGGGTTTCGGGCAGCAATACACCCCAGACGTGGTGGTTTGAGGATTTCAGGGTGTAGGGTTTAGGGCTTAGGGTTTAGGGTTTAGGGTTTAGGGTTTAGGGTTTAGGGTTTAGGGTTTAGGGTTTAGGGTTTAGTTTAGGAGATTCATGTTTATAGGGTTTGGGGTTTAGGGCGTTTGTTTTTCTTGGTTTGGCTGCAAGAGGCGCGCTAATACGCCAGCACTAAGGGTTGAGAGTTGCTACAACCCCGAAACCCTTAAGCTCCCTAAACCCTAAACCCTAAACCCTTAACCCTTAACCCTTAACCCTAAACCCTTAACCCTAAACCCTAAACCCTAAACCCTTAGACCTGAACCTGAACTCCACTTCGTACCTCGTACCTCTGCTTTGCCGAACCGGTGGTGTATACATTTATCTGTGTATATTTCCTTCTACTTGTTACGTACCGGAACGGATTCATGATTCAGATGCCCTCCCACCCACCCCCCCCCCCCCCCCCCCCCCACAAAGCCCCCTAAACCCCAAACCCCCGACACCCCAGACCCTGAAACCGGAACCTCTTCAACCCTAAACCCTAAGCCCTAAAGCCTAAACCCTAAACCCTAAACCCTAAACCCTAAACCCTAAACCCTAAACCCTAAACCCTAACCCCAAACCCTAAACCGGTGTCGGCCCCCGTGCAACTCCAGGTCAGAGGTGTTTGGGCGGTTTAGGGTTCAGGCGTTAGACGCCCCCAGCACAGGGCTACCTTTTCTGGGGAGGGATTCCAAGATAAAGCATGACAGTTTTTTGGGGGTCTGCACGAACCCTAAAAACCCTAAACCCTTAAAACCCTAAAAACCCTAAAACCCCCAAACCCTAAAACCCTGAACCCTCAAAACCCTAAAACCCTAATTAAACCCTTAAAGCAAAAAGAAAACCAAAGAACAACAAGCCCTTAAACCCTTAAAGCGAAAAGGAAACCAAAGAAGAACAAGATCCTAAACAAAAGCTAACCAAGGAAAGACAGGCCCCTAAACCCTTAAGCCAAAAAGAAAACCAAAGGAAAAACAGGCCCCTAAACCCTTAAAGCAAAAAGAACACCAAAGAAAAAACAGGCCACCCAAAAAACCCTCGGCTCGCTGCGCATGTGCGGAACCATCTGCCCTCCATCGATGCCTCCGCGGATGTCGTTCCAAGGGGGCTTAGTAGGGCTTAGGGTTTAGGGTTGAGGGTTAAGGGTTAGGGTTTAGGGTTTTGGGGTTCGAGTTTAGGATTTAGGGTTTAGAGTTTAGGGTTTAGGGTTTAGGGTTTAGGGTTTAGGATTTAGGGTTTCGGGTTTAGGGTTTAGGGTTTAGGGTTTAGGGTTTAGGGAGAACCTCAACCCCAAGGCTCGACTTGGCGCACGGCCTCAATGCGGAGCCCGCCCACCAGCCGAAACATTCACGAAGGATCTAGGGTTTAGGGTTCAGGGTTTGGGGTTTTTAGTGTTTAGGGTTGAGGGTTTAGGGCTTAGGGTTTCGGGCTTCAGGGTTTCGGGTTTTCAGGGTTGCGCCCCCAATATACAATATTATCACGTTTACATAGACACCCTATGAAGCCGAGAAGTGACTAAGCACTAACCAGGGTTTCGGGCTTAGGGGTTTGTAAGGAACATCACAGGCCCTTCTTTGTCTGCAGAAGACTAGAAAAATTGGGATGATCCCCCTTATACTAGCAGTTCATGATAGGGATTATAGTATCCCCTATGTCATACTCCCCTATTCAGGACTGTTAGTATAAGGGGAACATCAGAAATCTACATACCTGAACTGTCTCTAAGGTTTGTTGGTTCGGCTGGTAGGTTCGAAGCTTGTGCAATGGTCTAGAGAGAAAACGCAACATGTTGGGCTTAAGGTTTAGGGTTTGGGGTTTAGGGACTATTGGGGGTTTAGGGCTTAGGGTTTAGGGCGTTAGGTCCCAGGGGGCTCCGAATTTCGGGAAAGCCCTGCCTAAACCCTAACCCTAACCCCGAAACCCTAAACCCTAAACCCTAACCCTAAACCCTAAACCCCAAAACCTGCCTGCCATGACGGCGGAACAGAAAGCGTCTGCATCATGGGCTGCCACGGGCTCCCTCAGACAGGCTAGGGGTTAAGGGCCAGAAGGGGGCTTAGGGATTAGGGTCTAGGGATTAGGGCTTAGGGTTTAGGGTTTAGGATTTAGGGTTTAGGGTTTAGGGCTACATAGGGGTTTAGGGGTTAGGGTTTAGGGTTTAGGGTTTAGGTTTAGGGTTTAGGGTTTAGGGGCTCAAGGGCTTGCTGGGGTTTGGTGTTTAGAGCTTGGGGGTTTCGGCGTTGGCTTAGGGGTGAGGTTTTGGGGTTAGGTCTTAGAGGTCAGGGTATGGGGCTGAGTGTTTGGGGTTGACAGTTCGGGATTAAGGGCATAGGGGTTAAGGGATGATAGTTTCAAAACCCCTCAACCCTCAACCCTAAACCCTCAACACAACCCTAATGCCTAGAACCCTCATGAACCCTCATACCCTCAACCCTCAACCCTCAACCCTCATAAACCCTCAACCCTAAACCCTCAACCCCTCATAAACTCCTAACCCCTCAACCCTCTGGACCCCTAAACCCCTACCCCTACACCCTAAACCCGAAACCCTCAACCCTAAACCCGAAACCCTCAACCCTAAACCCTAAACCCTAAACCCCCTAAACCCTAAACCCTAAACCCTAAACCCTAAACCCTAAACCCCCTAAAGCCCCCAGATCTCTGCCGAGGCCTTCCCGCGCAGCCGCGGATGGCCGTCTGGTGTCCCTTGTGGAGGTTCCTGGGCGGCCCATTTAGGGCTTTAGGGGTTTCAGGGGTTTTAGGGGTTTAGGGGTTTCAGGGGTTTTAGGGGTTTAGGGGCTTTAGGGGCCTTCGGGCTTTAGGGGCTTTAGGGGCTTTAGGGGCTTTAGGGGCCTTAGGGGCTTTAGGGGCTTTAGGGGCCTTAGGGGGCTTTAGGGGCTTTAGGGGCTTCAGGGGCTTTAGGGGCCTTAGGGGCTTTAGGGGCTTTAGGGGCTGCTTTAGGGGCTGCTTTAGGGCGATAGGCGTTTACGGTTTAGGGTTTAGGGTCTAGGGTCTAGGGCTTGGGGCATCCAAGTGTTTGAGGTTTAGGGTTGAGGGGGTCAGAGTGTTTAGGGTTGGGGGACTAGGGCTGGCTTACGTAACAGAATCCTTGGTTCTAAGGGCTGTTGGGCGTTGGAACCACGAATTTCGCGAACTTGGGGCTCTAGAACCCTTAGAACCTGGGTTAGGGTTTAGGGTTTAGGGTTTAGGGTTTAGGGTTTAGGGTTTAGGGTTTAGGGTTTAGGGTTTAGGGTTTAGGGTTTAGGGTTTAGGGTTTTAGGGTTTTAGGGTTTTAGGGTTTTAGGGTTTTAGGAATTAGGGTTTAGGGCTAAGACAAACCCGGCAATGCTGTAAATGTTTCCCTGGCGGGGAGGTTATAAACAAGGAGAGAAAGACTTCCACAGCATGGTAGGCTCAGGGCTTCGGGTTTAGGGTTGAGGGCTTCAACAACTCAAATCACCCTAATGGGACTTCTCTAGGTTGGGCTTGGGGCTGTGTGTTTTTGGCTTCGGGTTTGCCTCTTCTTTCTGTGGCCCAAGGGAGGCTTTAAGAGGCAAAACCCTTGCACCCCAAACGTTCAATTTCCGATTCCATACCCACATCTTCCGATATGCCTTAATTCATGGACATTCCCCAAGCTGCGACGAAGGATCCTACCTTGCTCTAGAGAAAAGCTCCTTAGTTCAGGGGGTTTAGGGTTTAGGGTTCAGGGTTTAGGGTTCAGCGTTTAGGGTTTAGGGTTTAAGGTTTAGGGTCTAGAGTTTAGAGTTTAGGGTTTAGGGTTTAGG